ATATATATTTTCAGGACGCCCTGCAAGGATATCATGATGGTACTAAAAGACTATAAGAACTTTTTTTATAAATAAATTAAAACGTCGCCCATTTAAGCAAAATATCTATTTTAAGGTATCCATGGTATATAACTACATGAGTACACATTTACCTTTTTGTTATTATTTAGATATAATTGAGTACCAATTAAATTACTGGGTATTGCATGGCGGACATACAATTAAAAAACATGTACATTGTACAACTTACCTTAAAAATTCAGGATTAGGAAGTACAACCCGCAAGAAATTAGCAAATATAACAAACAACTAAATACTACCCAATTCGGAGATAACCCATACACTTACATCAATCGGCGTCACCAGAAATACCGATTAATCAGTTGATCATATTTAACTATAGGCACGTACGCGATTACAGGTTGCCGATGTGTGGTGTTGCAGGGGATGCCCTGGCGCGTTTGTCTGAATTTTAGCAATGATTAAATTGAATACAGGCCGCATTGACAAAATGGGAATGATAATTGGGCAAATAACAAGTATTTTTCAAGACAGTGAAAACATTGGTATTCACTGTAAGACAGTAATAACTTACTTTACCTTAGTTTCCATTGGAATAAAAATCATAAACATTAAAAGAAACAAAGACTATTCTTATTTCATTTGCGTTTAATTTTTAACTTTTAATATAAATCAATGTTATATTTAATTAAATATTGTTAATTTTACTTTGGTCAGATAAACTTTGAATTCAATCATTTCTAAAATTTTCAAGGAAGTACACATTTCCATTGAGTTTACGAGACGAAGACGGTGACGAGGCGACAAACAATAAGTGAATTCCACTGGATTTACCGTTGCCATAATGTGCTCTGTTTACTTAATATTCTGACGGTCATTATTTGTTATGCTTTAGTCATTAGTTAAAAAGCGAGTACAAGCTAGATAATTACAGGGTTTGGTTAAAAAGAGTTTATTTTAATAATATTTACATCTTGTCATCTTGTTTATATTGTGATTCTAAACTGCGTAGATTGGATAAAAACTGTATAAACTATTATCTTTGTGAAATAAAATTTTACTTAAAATATACAAAACTAAAAACTAAAGAAGTAGCAATTATAGCAGAACATAAAAGTGTTAAGTGTGTTTGCAAATACTGCTAAAACACAAACCTTGCAAACAAAATAAATGAGTTAACGTCACAACTAAAAGATTGTTTGGATATAATTATTGAACAGAATAAGACATTTGAATCTATGTATACCAAACTAGATCAATTTGTTAACGTGGACAAAAAATCATTAAGTGTACTTTAGTACTTGGTACAAAGGATTGTTGTTTTGTTTGTGATTATGGTTTAGTTTTGCTGGTTAAAAGGTTTTTGTGAATACTGCCGTACTTTGGCAAAACCCTGGTAACTATGATTTTGTAAATTTTCAGGACAGCGTATTTTCTAAAATTTCATAGCCTTTATTTGCAACAAAGTATTTAAAATATCTAATGATCAATTCCTACATAATTTTTAACGAGAAATTTGAAAAAATTATCAAAAAAATAAGTAATTTGTTTACAAATATGAGTTACTACACCGAAAAAATTATATTCGTTGAGTTAACATTTGCCTAAATGTCATTTTTGAAAATGTTGTTTCAACAAAAAACCTATTGGATTAATCTATATTTTGGTGTCAAAGCAATAGTCAGAGTTTGTCAAAGTTTATTTGTTCATTTGACAATTTAAAATATTGATCTTACATGAACTAATTGTTTGAATTAAAGTTTTTATCCTATTTTGATTTAATAGCTGGAATTGGTTAAATCAAATACTAAAATTGTTGGGATTACCTAAAAAAACTATTAGATTAACGTTTAGTTGCTCTTTAATCCACAACATTAAATTTGTTCATTTAACAAATTGTAAATGTTACTTTAAAATTTAAAATGTAAACCCGCGCCACGTCATTAGACGATGACGTGTTCTTACATCTCGCCTTAGTTGGCTTACGATTAGGGGTATATAAGGTCAGGTAGCTGTTTGTTTTAGGTGTGTTCCACAGTGGAACTTTCACTACACCATATTGCCCGACACTGATAAGACCCTCAATACAGGGCGAAACAGCTGTCTGTCGGTATTTAAAGTAGGTGGAACACGCTCAAAACAAAAACTCTGGGCGAGGTGAAGGTTCAATTCTTTCTCTTTATAATAATATATTATTTCCATAATTTTGTTTTGGATACCAACCTTTAAAGAATTTTAAATTTTCAGAATGTTAATTTAACATTTTATTGGTGTTAAGTGAATATGCTAAAAAGGTTACCTGGACATTTCAAGAAATTCACCTTAACACCCTAAGAATGTTAAATTAACCAAATTAGCAGATTAGAACAAATATTCTCATTTTGTTCAATTGACTGTTATTTGTTGTTCAATTAAACAATACAATTTGACATTTTTAGATGGTTAAGTAAACGTGCAAAAACCATTGCTTGTATTTAAAGTGCATAAAGAGTTAAATTAATATTTTTGTTGTTGTTTCAACAGCTTATTTTTTTCAGTGTATATTTTGTTAATTTATTTATGTAAGTAATTATGCATATTTTTTAAATGTTTTTAATATTATTTAGTAAAATATAGTTAATCGACTATAAGATAAAATAAATAATTATTTAGGTTTTTTGCCATTTTATTTAGTGAAAATATAATTAAAAAATCCACATTATATCAAGTAAAATTGAACATTTAGATATTATGGTAAGTAAATCCAGAACAATTTATTTCTTTAATCTCTAAATATGGGACAAAGAGTCTTTAACATTGTTTCTTTCTTTTTAGTTTTTAACCCCAATGGTTCCAAATACGGTGTCACTGGTAGCTTAACTTCAAATTTATTCTTCTGGACATACTTTGAACTTTCTTAATAATAAAACACCATTATTACAAGTTACACACGCTATTCCAAACGTAAAACTAGTCTGGTAAAGTCCGATTTATTAAAAACAGATTTTTATTTATTTATTAAGTGTGCAAATTACGTAAATCATAATTAAAACATCAACATTCAAGTTGCCAGATTTTAATCAATGCTGAAATATACACTGAAAAAAATAAGCGGTTGAAACAACAACAAAAATATTAATTCAACTCTTTATGCACCTTTGCACGTTTACTTAACCATCTAAAAATGTCAAATTGTATTGTTTAATTGAACAACAAATAACAGTCAAAGGAACAAAATGAGAATATTTGTTCTAATCTGCTTATCTGGTTAATTTAACATTCTTGATATGTCGGAGTAATATTTCGAAAATGGTTGTGCTAACATTCTTAAGATGTTAAGGTAAATTTCTTGAAATGTCCAGCTAACCTTTTTATCATATTCATTTAACACCAATAAAATGTTAAATTAAAATAATTTAGAATTTGCGCTAATACTCCAAAAGGGTTGGGTTAACATTCTGAAAATGTAAAAGTAACATTCAAAATTATGGAATTAATATAAAGAGAAAGAATTGAACCTTCACCTCGCCAGAGTTTTTGTTTTAAGTGCGTTCCACCTACTTCAAATACCGACAGACAGCTGTTTCGACCTATATTGAGGGTCTTATCAGTGTCGGGCAATTTAGTGTAGTGGAAGTTCTACTGTGGAACACACACAAAACAAACGGCTACCTGAGCTTATATACTCCTATCGTAAGCTAACTGAGGCGAGATGTAAGAACATCACGTGATCAACACCGTCTAACGACGTGGCGTGGGTGTTCGACGCGCCCTTTACGGCAATTTTATGGAAGCAAATTTAACATTTTAAATTTGTTAAATGAAATAATTTAATGTTTTGGATTTATAAGCAACTAAACGTTAATTTAATAGTTTTTTAGGTAATCCTAAAAATTTAAGTATTTGATTCAACCAATTCCGGCTATTAAATTAAAATAGGATAAACATTTTAATTCAAAAAATTAGTTTATGTTAAATCAATATTTTAACTGTCAAATGAACAAATAAACTTTGACAAACTCTGACGATTGCTTTGATACCAAAATATAGATTAATCCAATAGATTTTCAAAAATGACATTTAGGCAAACGTTTACTCAACTACATTATTTTTTTTTTTGGTGTATACTTACATAAAGTTTAATATTAATTATTTAAAAACTTTAAAATACTCCCGCCAACAGCAGCTGTATTATTACCATTAGAAAATACTTTGCGTTAAACCTATCAACTTGAGTTACTAGCTTTTACTGGGTAAAATTTAAAAAAAAATGAGATATTGTTGATAGTAACTTTATTTGCCATATTTTGATTTAGGATACCTAACAGTTTTTAGAAGTTACTAAAAATAGAGATAGACATTTAACAGTCACCGTAATGTAAAAAGCGATAAAAAATTGTTACTAGAGGTAAATCCAAAAATGCAGTAATTTTTTAAAACCTAGTTACTTTAGTTACTATGTTCTACTAAAGTACGGCAGAATAGTTTTAGTGCGATGACACTGCAGTGTTAACTATCTGGAAAACTTTAATTAACAGTAAGCCCTTTACAAGTATGACATTTACAAAATGTTAGATTTACCCTGGAGTTAATAATCCTGCAGCAACAAAAGAAAATCATATTTAATATTTTAATAAAAAATATATGACAATAATAAATTGCTCTGCGGGTGTAGTCATATAAATAAAATATATTGTTGGCCATGTTTACTCTTGGGCAAAGAAAACAATTTTCGATTTTAAATGGCACTGCACGTCACTGATATTTAGACTAATTTTCAATGAACATTTACCAATTGCGCAGTAAAACCATTTGTTCCTGACAATTTCAGCTAAACCAAATAAAATAAAAACCCTCGTTGCAGCAACCCAAGTAATTCTAAACTTAATAATAAAATTTAAAACACTAAGCAGCCCTGTGAAGAGTAGAGAAATAAAAATTAACCGCCACACTCGGGATGCAGCACCAAAACGAAAAACAAAAAAAGCGGAAATACTTACCAATTACGTACATATAACCAGTCACGATTTGTGTGTAGAAGTTGGGGGAGTCCGTGGAAACTTCGCATTTGTATCGACCAGACATTTCGGGCTGCACATTTCTTAGCACGACCTCGTTCTCTGTGCTCTTGCTTAGCTGAAACAAAAGTTGGCCATTATCGGACCGCACATCTGGTCGAGCTTCGAGGATATTCGCTGGATAAAAAAAGTTTCGATTGAAAGACTTGTTCTTGGTTGGATTTAAAACCCTCATTGGTCGACAAATGTTACTTGCACAGGATTTATTTAAGGGTTTTAATGATTTAAATGTTCGTTTTTAGTTTTAGTTTTATAAGCTTTACTAACTATACTAAGCTTTACTAAACTAAATTATTTATAAAAATTTAATGATAATTTCTAAAACATTGGCTACTTTTTTATTAATTTTGCCTACAAAAATTAAAATTAATTCTTACTTTTTTTGTTGTTACGTTTTTAACTAACACACTGTGTTTTTACAATGACTTTTCCTCAAAACCCAAAACTTTTTTGCCTTGCAAAATTGCTTTACCAAAATATCTTATTGAAAAGCGACACTATTTTAACGCACTTTTATAAGCGACACTATTAAAAGACATTTTTAAAACCTATTACGCTGATTTTTTATCATCTCTAGCATTAGCAATTTTTTATAGTCATCGAAACGTGCCCTAAAAATTTCTCTTGAATTTTATGTTTTTTCATCAAGTATAGATAAAAACAACTTCTTAAGGTTTATAAAAAATAATATTGGATTAAACCCTTTTCTTTCAAGTTTCTTTAATTTTGTTGATAAAAAATTGACATAATTTGTAATTTCAGCTTTAAATAAAATAATTGTATTTTATTTGAAAAATTATTTTAACAGCTAAAATTTTTACTACCAAAAATAAAACTATAACATTTGGTGAAAAATACAATGGTCGCTTTAAATCTGTCCGATACTGTATATTTACAAACAAAGGTATCTTACCTACACTATAAAAACAGGTACAAAAACCAAATTCTGCAATTGGTATAAAAACTATAAATAATTAAAATACACTGTGTCATTTAACTTGAAACTTTGAAATATCTCAGTTAGTATGCATTTTACGAAAAAATGTTTAAAATAAAAATTAATTGATTCGAGGGGTAAAATCAATCAGTACTAAAAGTTTTCCCCATACTCTCCTCCTTATAGGGGAAACAGGGGGTAACAGGGGTTGCAGATTTGGATCATTTGACTAAAAATAGGTAGATTTTGTCTAAAACATTTTTTCTTATTTGTAATAGATGTCAATATAATGAAAAAAATCATTTTTTTTTTCGATTTTTCTTCTGTATACGATTCTGCAATAATTTTTATATAAAAATATTGCTTTTTTTGATAATAATTATCTTATTATATCAAATCCGATTTTTTTAAGTACCCACGATTTTTTAACTAATATTTAAGTTTTCTTTGGTTTAAGTTTTATACATTATTTTATTCGGTGATAATTATTAATTGCGCACCATAGTCACTTTTTACCGGCCTTTAATTTAAAGGATTATTGTACTATTTTTAATAAAATACCTAGGTACCTCATTTAGGTTAAAAAAAACATTATTTTGTCAATTAATTAATTTAATCCTAATGGTGGTATAAAGGAACTATTTGTCGTTTAGCATTATGGATTTTTTTTAAATGGAAGAAAAAATAGAAATGATTTTGATTTATGGAGAATCAGGCAGGAATCTTGATGATGCTGTTAATAGCTACGCTCAGCGTTTTCCGAATAAAATTCGATCACGTACTTCAATTCACCGTACACTCAAGCAGTTTACTATAAACGGGAGTGTTCAACCAAAAAAAAAAGAGTTGCTGAAATTAATGTATTAGCAGCAACGGCCGCTAATCCTCATGCAAGCACACGAGAAATATCTAGAGATTTGGTAATATCCCAGAGCAGTGTTAGCAGAATATTAGAACGAAATGCGAATTAATAAATGCATTGAAGTCGAAGGCCACAATTTTGAACACCTACTTTGATTAAAATTTAAAAAATAAATAAATTTAAAAAATAAAAAAGGAAAGTATTTTATTAAAAAATTATTGGAGAATCGTATACAGAAGAAAAATCGAACAAAATTGATTTTTTTTCATTACAGCGCCATATATTACAAATATGAAAAAATGTTTTAGACAAAATCTACCTATTTTTAGTCGAATGATTCGAATCTGCAATAAAAAATAGGGTATTCCTTTGGAAATTTTAAAGCTACCCCCTGTTTCCCCTATAAGGAGGAGAGTATGAGGACTGACTGATTTCCCCCCTCGAATAATTTATTTTTTATTTTAAACATTTTTTTCGAAAAATGCATACTAACTGAGATATTTCAAGTTAAATGACTCACCCTATATATAGGTATTTATTTATTCATTTGAACAATATTAATTAAAACAGTAACTTTTCAAAGTTAAAATGGTGTCGCAACAGGATATTTTGGTAAAGCAATTTTGATAGCACAAAATTTGACAAGGGAATTTTTTTCTGTTTCGAGTCACAATAATCAATATAAAAATACAAAGTTTTGGGTAACAAATGTAATAGCGAAAAAAAGTAAGAAGTATGTTTAAATTAAGAATTTTTAAGGGTAATTTCAATATTTTTTACCCAAGGACTTGCAAGGGTTGATCACAAAAATGTTTAAACGGTTCCTAAATCTTTAGCTTTCAGAGCTTTTTTACCTATTATTTTTTTAAATTTGTTGTAGTATGTTTTATTAAAAAAGAATTAAAAAGTAGAAAAATATAATAGCAGGTTTTTAAAAATTGTATTGTAAATTTTATATCATTCCCACAAATTTTGATTATTTTTTATAAAAAGTTTACAAAAAATAATTTTAAAATTAAATGCTACAGATTTTTTTAGTCATACTCGAATAATACATTGTAAATAAATTAATGAAGATTTTACAAAAAAATTTATGTGTTCTAAAATAGGTAACCAATTAAATAGCTACTAACTAGTTTGTTTTTTATTTGTTGAGGATATTTTTAATTTTTTTGTGTTAAAATTTTCATAAAAACCTATATTTAAATTTTATTTATTTTAATATCTTTAAAGTGCTTTTACTTAACTGAAACAAAAGTATCCAATTATCGGACCGCCTCGGAAAATCCACTAAACAAAAAAGTTTCTATCACAAAAGGAAAAAAAATAAAAAAAAAGCGGCCAAGGCAGTTCCTTCTTATTTGAAGTTTATTGAATTACTATGTCGATTTAAAGTAGTGAGACACATGTTGTAAAACTGTTTTAACAAGATTTATTTGAAAGATTTTAGTAAAAATTTCCTGTAAGAAATATTTTAGAAAAAATATAATTATTGCTTTTTCGCTATTTTTTTGTTTAGTTTTGTGTTTCAAACCCATAAGACTTTGTATGTGGAAATTTTCGGAACCGTAAACTTTTTTCCAGGGGACATATTTACACATTAATTTCATCACTGTAACTTCAAGCCTTTAGCGGGGGCAGCACCCACCCTGAAAGGATACGGGACCGAAGATTTTTGTTATTTTTCCATACAAAGCCGTAAACCTTGTTTTTAATGGGCCACCCTATATAATTTTATTGTAATATTTATCATAACGTCTTTATCCACCTAACAACCAACATATTTTACTATATATAAAATAGGTAAACAAATCCTTTCCAGTTGTTTAGCTTTGCCGTTAGGTGACAGTTGTTAAATTTCTTACTAGAATGGCGAGGAAACTTTATCCCTACCCGAGAACTCAATCCAAGAAGAGCATAAGCCGTAATACAGAAAGTTCAGTCTTAAAACGGAATGAATTTTCAATAAAATATTCTGTTGCAGTTTTACGATAACAAAGTGAAATTTATGTATTGGGTTTTTGTTCTTAATTTATAAAATGGCAACCGCAGACTTACTTCCAAATAAGTGTAATATACTAAAATAATATTTGGGTGTCCCCCAAGTGAAAATGAATATTTTTTATTTTTGGTTGTTTCACTTTTAGTCTAGAATGGGGTTTTTGGGAAGCCACCAGGTTTAGTAATAACTAGGGATGGGATATTTAGGTACTAAAAACTGAAAAATAGGTAACTAAAAAGGTACTAAAAAAAAGCATTTTAGGTTAAAAAAAAAGCATTTTAGGTAAAAAAAAAAACATTAAAAGTTCACGTTTCGTTTATAATTTTGTTTAGCCCCATACCCAAATACAGAACATACCCACAATTAACTATTTTTATGCAATAAACTGTGTTTCACTGAGTGACACTCACTACACAGAAGTTCTATAACAGAACATAAGCTCACTACAAAGAAGGTAACTGTAAAGAAAGTTACTGTTACAGTCTGTGACCATAAGAAAAAATTTTATACCGTTGAGTTGCACGCCCTGGATAAAATATTGGGGCAAAATTTAAAAAGAACACAAAAAAATAAAATAAGTAAAAATACGTAAAAATAGATAACAAATAGGTGAAAATAAACTGACAAATTAAAAAATATGTAACAAAAGTATAAAAAGGTAGTTTAAAGCAAAAACTTCCAACAAAGGTAAAAAAGGTGAAAACAAGTTAAAAAAAATAGGTAACAAAAGTATAAAAAAGGTAGTTTAAAGCAAAAACCTCCAAAAAAGGTAAAAAAGGTAAAAACAAGTTGCAACCCATGGGTTCATATAAAAGAAAATCTTTTAAAACACATTTTGGCATTATTGGTTTTCAAATAGTTACATCGGTTGAAAAAAGGTAAAATAACTAAAATCCCATCCCTAGTAATAACATAACATAAGTGGTTCTGCACTAATGCAAGAATTTTAAGAAATCATACATTTTGAATATAAGAGCTTCACGGAAGATAGGTTAGGATTTCGTATGTTTTTTTAAACATCCCTTTGTATATTTGAAATAAGTTATTGTATCTTTTAACACCTTATTATTTAAAAAAAATACAATTGTCCATACATAAAATATTTATAAAAAATCTACTTACTTACTATAATGTCGTAAACAGAGGTTTTGCTTATTTAATATGGTTAAAGCGCCATCCGTTGCATTAAATTTAAAGCAAAAACAGATTCACGGGGGATAGAATCAATTATTGTAACACATACATAAATGGTTATAA